TTTTTTTTTTTTTAAGTTGAAAAAAAAAATGGTTGCGGGAACTCTCTGAAGCCCTTTTTATAATGCCCAACCCTAATTCTGATAGCCCCACTGTCTATCTCCCTTCTTGCTCTCTAAAGCATGATCATCAGATCTCACCGATGCCTTTTCAGTCTCTCAGGGTTCTGTCCACCTCCCTGTTTCTGTAGATGTTGTTCTGTTCTGGTCCTGCCTGTACCTCACCCTGTTCTAGGAAACAGTCTCCATTTTCCCAGTCTTCTAGGCTTTGGTCTCGATCCTCTGATCCATCCTGCACACCACTGAGAACACAACCTTTCAACAAATCTGATGATGCAATATGGGTAGAAATTCCCCAATAGAATTCCACAAAGATTCTAATCTTTGTATGGCACAGCAAATCCCTCCTAATGTCTCTGTTTACCACTTTCTGTTCATTTTACACCGTCAGGCCTGACAGTTCTAGTGAATACTTGTGGTTTTCTGAAAATGTCAGCATTCCCTCACATGTTGTGCTGATGCAGGCTGTGTGCTCTGAGGAGCAAAGCTCCCACTCAGAACCATCTCAGCAGCTTCCTGCCGCATCAGTTCAAAAGCCACTTTTCCTCAAGCTTTGTTTCCTTTCTTCCAGTTACACACACTGGGAGAACAGCTCAACCATAAATACTGTCATACTGCGATATAATTACCTTAATGAGATTTTTAGCAAAAATTATCTCATTCTTCTTTTACCAATGCTTAATTGGGCATTGAATCAAATTCAGAGTCAGATAACAGTTTGTATCAAGAAATAGGTGAGGTGAGTATACAGGGAGGATAAATGATTTTTATTTATTTATTTATTTTTCATGGTGGTACACAGTTTTAATCCCATCCAGCATTTAGGAAGCAGATGTGAGTTCCAGGCCAGCCTGGTCTGTACATCAAGTTCCAGGCCAGCCAGCATTATACAGTAAACCCTGTCTCAGAAACAAACAACGGCCCCCGCAAAAAAACACACCAGAAACACGAAACCAGGCATGGTGGTACATGGCTGTAATCCGAGCACTTTGGAGGCTGAAACAGGAGGGATTGAGAGTTTGAGGCCAGCCTGGGACTGCAAAGCAAGAGCCTGTCTCAAATCATTAGGGATGTAGCTCTGTGGTAGATCCATCATGCTCAAGATCTTGTGCTTGATTCCTGGTACTCTCCCCACCACCCCAAACAAGCAAGCAAAGAACAGAAATATGGCCCCAAAGATCAGCCCAGAAAGAACTGAATTTTCAGCATGTAGTGTAGGACAACTGACTGTTCTCATGGAAGCAAACACAATTGGACCCACACCTCTCACCACACATTGAAACCAATTCAAGCTGGGTCACAGACAAATGTGAAATGAAACCTTAATGCTTTCAGAAGGTAATGTGGGCAGATATCTTTATGACTTCACAATGTCCATGTTCTTAAAAGACAGAAGAAAAAAAACTCCATTTATCACACAGGTGAGATAGGGACGTTTAATTACATGAAAGCTGAAGAGGTTCATCAAAAACACTGTTAAAGGAGTGAACTGGCACCTAAGAGTGTTGATCACAAACACTAGGACCACATACAAACTATTAAATTGAAAAGAAACAAGTAATGGAAAAAAGGGTAAAGGATGTGAACAAGAAACCCAAATGGCCAATAAACACATGCAAAGATGCTGAAGTTCATTAGTGACTGGGACAACTGAAGTATGTGGTGATAAGTTAGTCACACAGGAACAGGTTGATTAAAAACCAAACTGAAGAGCTGGAGAAGTGACTCAGTGGTTAAGAGCACTGACTTCTCTTGCAGAGTACCCGGGTTCAGCTCCCAGCACTTACATGGCTGCTAACAACCATCCGTAGCTCTAGTTTCAGGGGATCTGACACCCTCTTCTGATCTCTGCTGGCATTGTATGACACAGGTGTACCCATGTACATGTAGGCAATACACTCATACACATAAAATGAAAATAATAAGTCAAATATTTTTTAAAAAATCAAATTGAAGTCTAACATTCCCAAGAGTTTGAGAGGACATGAAATAATCCATACGGTCTGTCATGTTCAGAGTTTTAAAGAAAATCAAAGATGACCGCCTACATCTATAGAAACTCAGACCTATTAACAAGTTGTCACAAGTAGGATTTCTGGAGAAACAGATCCTGAGATGCTGAGGTTTGAAGAGAAGAGGATTGTTGAAGAGTTGTGAGGGAAGTGAGAAGTGGGATTCCACAGGAGGAGGAGTTGAAATGGGCACTGCTACAACACAGACCCTAGATATACCATGGGCAGTTCTGAAGGTGAGAGAGCTTCCAAAAAATGTCTCAGCTCAGACAAAGGGCAGGCATCTAAAATGCCCATTAACCAGTCATGACAGGTGGACTGACCAGGGCCAGTTCACAACTTGGCAGTTCTTTAAGTGGGATGCCACTGTCTGTCACCAACGGCCAAAAGCTTGCTCCTGCAACCAGCAGCTGGGTCAGTTTCCCAGTCTAGATTCTGCTGTTTCTTTTTTCTCTCTTTCTTCTCCGATTTTTTAATGGGGCTTCTGGCTACTCCAACTTCCCCCTCCT